TTGCTAAGTCCATTACCTGCTGGAAGTAGGTATTGGATAAGATAGTGGCTTGTGAACCAGTATCTATTAACCCTTTAAAAGGCTGGGGTAACGAATCCTGTATTTCTACAGACATGTAATACCTTCCTTCATGTTCTTCTAATTCACATAAGAATTTAGAATGTGTCAACATATTACTTGTTTTCCATACATTACCGGTCACAGCAGTAGTTTCTACCTGTACTGAGGAATGCTCAGTCTTACCCACAGGCCCATCCTTTTTAGGAACATCTTGAACTATCAAGCGGGAACTAGTGGTCGGCATCTCATCAGTTAACCCTTTCAGGTCTGGATCCTGGAAACTAGTGGCTGCTGGGGCTACTTTAGCCTTTGGCTGAAATGAAAAAACAGAGGAACACGTTGCGCCTCCTTCACCCGGAAGTGAAGTGACGGTATAGGCAATAGGTTTTCTAACACAACTATTATTTATTTGACTGTTAGTACCTGGAAAGGAAACAGGGTTAGGCATTACATCTACTGATAACCTAGCCTGTTTAGTCACAGTGGCTATTATTGCTGCGGCACCTGTTGTTGTTGCTGCGGTTGCACAGGTAGTTCTGCAATTGGAGCTATCCCTAAAAAAGGATTTAGAGCAAAGACTTGGTTAATCTTTGTCATTCCCTCCATTAATTTGCCCATCTGGTCTGTCAATTGACCAACCTGACGACGCAAATTATTTCCCCCATTGCCGTTTTGTCTTTGCCCATTAGAATTTGGCTGGGATGGCTGAGACTGTTGGGAGTTATTGGAAGCAGATTGGTTGTTTCTGTTTCCATATCTCCTATTTCCCTGAGGATTCCTTCTCCATTGGGAATTGCCTTGGTTCTTATTAACCCAGGGGCGTTTATTCCCATTGGCATTGGATTTTTCAGAGTTATTAGAGGAATTTGCAGAATTGCTTCTGGCGTTTTCCTGTTTCTGAGGTTTTGGTGTTTTCAAAACCTCGGAATAGGTCCTCTTTTTCTGTTGGGTTTCTAAACCTAACTGAATTTTAGTCTCTGACACCATTTTATCACCAGGTTTCTTAACCTTTGGCTGATTTTCGTCATGTGCATGGTGTATAGTATACAATTTCATGCACTGACTGACTAGCCATTCTAATGGTAACTTACAATCGTAATCTCTTGCGAGATTCATTTGTATGTTTACCGGCATGGCATGAAAATACAGATCTTTGAAGTCTGTGCTTTCATACCTGGGTTTTCTTTGGGCCACGGAGTATGCATTTTTAAGAATTATTAAAAATTCTCTGGGGCTTTGATCTGGACGGCACTTTAAGTTATAAAGCGCCTTCTTTGCAGAGGCAATGGTTTTATACTTACCATATTCCATGATTATTTCATATTTCATCTTGGACCAGGACATTAACTGTATAGCTTGAAGACTTTCTAGATAAACACGGCACATTGAATCAAAGGTCCATGTAATGAACCATTTCTTATGAATGTCATCATACATGCCCAATGAATTCATTGCTCTATCATAATTTTCCAGATGTTCAGATATGTTTCCTGAACCTCTAGAAAATTGTGGGACAGTCTCTCTAAGGAATTTGATGACCTTTGGTGTTTCATAAACAGGCGTCGTTGATTTACGATCTCTGTTTCTGTGTTTGGGTAAACGTCTATGCGATCTGTCTGCTGAAGAGGAATTAGACCCGTACAACAGTGCAGATGGCATATCAGTTACATGGCCTTCAGAGTGGATAGTGCAATCACTTTCACTCCCATCACTCTGAGCTTCTTGTTCACTGTCACAACTCTGATCTGCATCAGAATTCTGCCAGTGTACAGAACCATGTCTGTTTTCATTCCTATCACCTTGAATCTGATTCTTTCTGTCAAGCTTGGCCAGGACAGTCTTTTCAAACTGTTCTGCCCAAGATTGCCAAGAATCTATAGGTGTTTTCTCAGAATTACTCACATCTTTACTTAGAGACTGTTTTATGAAAACCTGGTTTGGTGTGGGAAAACCATAATAAGGAGGGGATTTACAGATAGTCTTTTCTTGCATTTTTGTGCAACTTTTGGGCACAGAATGATGACTACCAACCTCACTGTCTAATTTCTGACTCTCCTTTTCATACTCATCCAATTGCATTTTAAGCTGATTTATTTCCTGTGCATATTTATCCATCAAAGCTTTCATTTCTTTTTCATGATCAGCCTGACGAGTTTTATGCTCAGCAAGTAAATCTTGGTATTTCCCATTTTGAATGCCCAAATCGTCACTGTACGTGTCCAATTTGGCATTCAGTGACTTGTTTTCATCACACACCTTAAGAAGTGCTGTCATAAAGAAAGGCCAAGAGTGTATTATGAACGCCATTTTCCTTTCTATGTTCTTTTGTTCAGCAATTTCTTTAAGATATATGATGATGTGTTCATCAGTTAGAATGGTTTGTTTAGCTTCCCATTCTATGCTTTTCAACCAAACCTCATAGGTTGCATCATTTTTCATATGTTTATGAATATGAACTAGAGCATGTTTTCTTAGGTCTTCAATTATTTCAGTATTATCTGTTACAGATGTATTACTGGATTCAGCCATATTTCTATACAGTGATTTAATCTCAATATAAAACTCTTTTCTATATCAAAATTAAATTGCATGAATTACACCAATATTATTATTATATATGAAATACAATTTCAACTTAAACGATCTCAGCAGTGCCTCCAATATGTGGGGATATTTATGGGATAATAATAGTAAACAGTTGAGAATTGCCCACTATTTCAATTCTCAGATCCCAAAGAACGTTTATCGTGTTAAGTGGAATGTATTTCATATAATAATATCACAATGTATAAAAATAGATTTTATTTATGATAACCAATAATTAACAAATAATATTATGTAACATGCATAACAATAATCAATGAATATCCAGTACAAAATTATATGCAATACAAAGGAATGGGTATTACGTTTCAATGGCTAAACAGCATTTCCTGTCAAGAATTATTTATGACTATCTTTAACACAGGCTGAAAGTGAAACTTTTCACACAAGAACAGAATTCCTCAGAGTGCAGCGTAAGGTCGTAAAGTTTAGCAGACAGTTAGAATAACCCTTTCAATGCTGGCTAGATCTCCTAGGTAGTTAAGATCTATTCTTATGTAATTTTTAAATAAAATAACATTTAAACCAGTTTAAATTCATTTTCTTAAAATCATCCAATAAGAGAATTTACCACATTATATAAGCAGATTTTTAATTTGTCTAAAAGATATCTATCTTAATTTAGAGCAAATCAATACACCTGGATAAAAACAGCGGTATGCTAACACGTGATAATATCACATCAATATATAATTATTCTTAATTCCACCTGCAGAATGGAATGTTTATAACTATATATTCTTAGTTAACTAAGATTTCTTAATATGGAAATCTGACCGTGCTTTATCCAGTCATATATAATGCTATTAATACATTTTAATTAATTTAATTTAATTAAATGAAACCAGTATAATTACCAGTTGAGTAGATATTTCATCCGATTGGTAGTCTCAGGAATTTATTTGGATGTGTCTCTGCATGGAGGTTGGAGTCCCCAAACTTCCAATTCCTCTCTTTTCTCTCCTTTGCATATCTTGCATCTGCCTCCTTCGTCTTGTTTCTTCTCTATCTTCCCTTTGTCTTAACTTTTAAAGGGCCAGACTCTCTGTACGTCATCAGTTGATAACCCAATAGAAGCACTAGAGGTGTGGTTATCTTCCAGATCGCAAATTAGTTATTTGGTCTATAGAGGGCAGTCTTGTCCCACTAAACATACCTATCCAGGAAAGAGTTAACTTTTCCTGGTGGCTATTTTGACGTCATTTTGCTTATCTCAAATGACCACTATAACTTACGTATCCTTCAAAGATCAAAGGGTTTCTTAAATTTTGTCCAGACTATGTGTCTGTAAATCTGCTATAATTTCTGATATGGCAGATCATGAACTAAGTTTACCCTTTTCCATACAATGGTACCTTATATATATAGACAGTTAAATATTATTATTTAATCTTCTCTGTCACAATTGTCTGGGTTTAGATTTGATTATATTCCATTAGCATTAGACAGTCTATCCAACCCCCTTCCTTATCACTTGGCTTGTATATACTATGCATTCCTCAGCTCTGGGAAAGTGGTTAGCTTGCAGATAGAAATATAGTGTCTTTCTGTTAACTTAAAATAACAAAATGGAGTCTGGTCTGTTCAGAGTGACTCAGAATATACACTTTTAGTTTCTATCATAGCACAAAATGTCTGCCGATATAAATACTCTGACACAACGGCTTCTGGGTAGTGGGTGGTGTAGTTCACCATGGTGAGAATATATTTCTTACTGGATGGACTGGGTTTAGGGAGGGGTCCTACAAGCTCGGCGCCTATCCGGCTGAAAGGTTCGTCAATAATAGGCATGGATGGCAGTCAAGCCTTGGGATGATCCCCCCTTTTCCAATCCCATTCCCCAACAACTGGATGAAACACCGTTTTGGGAGTCAACTAAAATTTTTATTGAACCATACTTTATACAAATCCCCATGCAAGGGGTTTTCATAATGACATTCCAGGGGTTTTCCCCTGGTGGACCTTGTGGAAAACTGGGAGTTTCCTTGGACTCTTTTCTGTACTGGAGAGATAATTACGCAAGAGCAAGCTTTTAATTAAATTATCTCTCAGAACATTACACAATATTTTTAAAACATTTTTCAAAACATAATAATTTGTATAATATTTATCAGAACTCCACGAACTACACTTCACGGAATAGCTGGGATCTGAGTGCCCAATCTGTTGAAATACTGTTCAGATCTGTTTGGTAGAATAGAAAAGCCACTCTAGTGAAGTTTTGGACTGGTCAGACACGAAATGAAGTCCCAAAACAGTTCCAGGCAATTGCAGGCCTAGACCGGTCTTCTTTCGGGAGTTCATACTGTTACGATTGCCCCCGGTCTAGCAGGAGGGTTGATCGCTTGGATGTCCTGGTTACCGAAGTCAGAGAGTCGAACGTGGTTCCATTCGGTAAAATCTGCAAGTGTAGAATATCCCACTAGCTGTAAGAGCGTTAATCTTCCCGTATCCCTACAACACGAGTCGAGGCTGCGAGTTGAGGGTCAAAACTAACTGGCTTTACTGGCACACAAGCATGGCAATTTATGCAAGTCCCCAGGTCCAGGGACAGCCCCCTCTGGACCTGATGGGATACAAGTACAGTACAATTATTTAACCAATCCCCATACAGTGTATCATTCAAACTAGTACCCGCCCAGCTTGGAGATAATGAAGCCAAAGGTTATACAATCTAATTATCTCCAAGCGCCCAAAACGACCATGCTTTATTATGTCCCAGAAAACAGCATAAAAATATACAATTCAGGCATTATCCAGTGAATATAGTCCTTTCTACATATTGTTCGGTAGCTCTGCGTTGGTTGCATTAGGTGTGCGAATAGCGCCCAGTTCCCACGAACAGAACAGGAGATTTCTACCGTATGAAATCCCGTTCGGTAGTTGGTTTCCAAGCCCTCGATGGCGGCCATGTTTTTGGGTCCGTCAATGGCCAGCAGGACCTCGATGTTGCACTCATGGAGCGAAGTCCAGGTACAGAATCATGCGAATCCCCGCTCCCCATCTGGTTGTCCCGTCCATTCGCGGTACGAATGGAGCCCGCCCGGGAGAGGCACTTAACCTGCGGTTAACCGCAGACCGCAATGCTGGAGGGCAGGTTGATAAGCGGCACACTCCGCTTGCAGGGTGGCCGGCTATTCGGTACTTTGCGGGGTGATGGGGTTAAGTGTCGGCACACGCCTAGGGCTGGGTGGTCGGTCGTTCGCACCGATGAATGAGGCTTTATAATAGTCTGTCTGCTCTGTTCGCCTGGTCTGAATGCCGTTAAATAGAGTCTTACTATGCAAAAACAGGGAATAACAATATAACAAGTCTGTGTAACGGAGTCTTTGTAACAATGCTCCCTCTTTGTGGAACACTCTGGTAGACACAGTCTGACCCCTTTTCGGGGCAGACTAAGGCTGTCCAGACTGAAGAATTATACTGGACTGAGGTCAGTTTGCCATGATAACCCGTTGGCATTGCCATTTTGCTTCCCGGGTCGGTAGGTGATAGTAAAATTAAACGATTGTAGTGATAAGCTCCAGCGTAATAGTCGGCCATTATCCCCAGCGACCGTGTTGAGCCACACCAACGGGTTATGGTCTGTCACCAGAGTGAACTCTTGTCAATACAAATATGGGGTTAACTTCTTTAGTGCCCACACCAGGGCCAAACACTCCTTTTCCACTGCGGCATAGCTGACCTCTCGTGGCAGGAGTTTTCGGCTGATGCAGGCAATCGGGTGTTCCTTCCAATCGTCTCCTAGTTGGCTGAGGACAGCTCCCAGCCCGAACATGGAAGCGTCTGTATGAACAATAAAACATCGATTAGGGGCTGGGGCAGCCAAAACAGGAGCATTACTTAAAGCAGTTTTGAGTGTTTGAAATGCGGCTTCACAGTGGGGAGACCACAGGACCTGTCGAGGGAGATTCTTCTTGGTTAAGTCCGTCAGGGGCTTGGCTATAGCGCTATAGTCTGGCACGAACTTTCTATAGTACCCAGCCGTGCCCAGAAAGGCTAGCACTTGGGTCTTAGTGGTGGGGGTGGGCCAGTTTGCGATCGCCTCTATCTTAGCTGGCTCTGGTCGCTGCTTCCCACATCCCACTCGGTGACCCAAATACTGTACCTCAGCCATTCCAAAATGGCATTTCTCTGGCTTCAGAGTCAGGCCTGCAGCCCGAATCTGATCCAGGACCATTCCCACCTGGGCTAAGTGGGCAGCGGGCAGCGGGACCTCGATGTTGCACTCATGGAACGAAGGCCGGGTACAGAATCATGCGAATCCCCGCTCCCCGTCTGGTTGTCCTGTCCGTTCGCTGTATGAATGGAGCCCGCTCGGAAGAGGCACTTAACCTGCGGTTAACCGCAGACCGCAATGCCGGAGGGCAGGTTGATAAGCAGCACACTCCGCTTGCAGGATGGCCGGCTATTCGGTTCTTTGCGGGGTGACGGGGTTAAGTGGCGGCACATGCCAGGGGCTGGGTGGTCGGTCGTTTGCACTGACGAATGAGGCTTTATAATAGTTCGTCTGCTCTGTTCGCCTGTTCTGAATGCCGTTAAATAGAGTCTTACTAAGCAAAAACAGGGAATAACAATATAACAAGTCTGTGTAACGGAGTCTTTGTAACACATACGAATGAACAGATGAACGTACATATTTATAAAATGGGTAGTTGTGCGTCTAGAGGTCGGTGGTTTCATTTAGGAAAACGCTGCTCTGTTTGGACGAACAGGAGTACACTTATGAACGGGATGGAAGTCCAGCGGTGTTCGTGAGGTTGAGTGGGCAATTTTAGTTCCATGCACTCGATGACCAAACACAGCTGGGCGTTCGTGCACAAAGATGGCCACCGCCACGTGTTCGTTCATGCGAACGGTGACCGCCCATCCGACCATTAGAATCTTGCAGTTTACCATGTTGCAATTTCGTAATTGGAGACACACGACTCCACTGTGTGGTCTTCCATTCGGTAGTTTGTTCGACTTAACAAACAATATGTCCATGTTCTTTTCGTGAAGTCAAACTAGATGAATTAACGTAGTCTTTTCACAATGAAGTGGCTAGTTTTGCCACAATGCTCCCTCAGAACCACAAGCCGGCATACACAATCTGATCCCAACGGATCGGCTTGGGGATGTCCGGAGGAGTACATACAGATCACTTTTCAAGTTCAGTTTGTCTGGATAACCCGTCAGTGTTGCCGTTTAGTTTTCCAGGGCGGTAGTGGATGGTAAAGTCAAAAGGCTGCAGCGCTAAACTCCAGCGAAGCAATCTGGCATTGTTTCTGGCTACCCTGTTAAGCCACGCTAACGGGTTTTGATCTGTTAGTAAGGAAAAGGGTTGGCCATACAAATATGGCTGTAGCTTTTAAAGGGCCCACACCACAGCCAGGCATTCTTTTTCAATGGCGGCATAGCTTACTTCTCGTGATAGTAGTTTTCTGCTTAAGTAAGCCACCGGATGTTTGCCACCATCTGCTTCGACTTGGCTCAGTACAATTCAAACATAGAAGCGTCTGTTACCGTCTCTGAACTTCAGCTCTTCGACTGGAGTCGAACGCTGTTTGACAATTCGAACGGCACTTTAACATTGATATTAGCACGAATGGTTGCTGTTTGTCTATTTGAACTGAATTTAACATTGGAAATACACCGGCCGCACAGCCCAATTCCCTGGAACTGTTTTGGGCATGAAATCAAAAGAGACTTCCACAAAACTTTTGAACCCCTGCTATGATCTGGGTGATTTTTTGGATATGTTGCTCACCCAGATCAGGGCTATCCAGGGATGTGTTATGTTTTGGGGTGTGCTGTATGTGGGTGTGTCGGACATTATTGTATTGTTTTGATTGGTTTGTGTCCTTTGTGTACCTGTGTTCCATCAGGTACAGGGGGTGTGCCTCTGGCCTGAGGAACTGTATACACCCTGTTCCAAATTATTATACAATTTCTATTTAAGTGTCACAAAGATTAAATATTTAGTTTTTCAGTTTAACTCATTGATCACTGAAAACAATCTCGGACACCTGTGATAATTAGATTGCCAGGTGAGCCCAATTTAAGGAAAAACTACTAAAGGAGGGTGTTCCACATTATTAAACAGAGCACCATTTTCATGCAATATGGGGAAGAAAAAGGATCTCTCTGCTGCCGAAAAGAGTGAAATAGTTCAATTCCTTGGACGAGGTATAAAAAAATATGATATTTCATGAAAACCTATGCGCTATTAAGAGATTTGTGGCTGATTCAGAGCACAGACAGGTTTGTGCAGATAAAGGCACATTGAGGAAGGTTTCTGCCAGATCCATGCGTCGGATCAAGGGTGCAGCTGCTAAAATACCATTACATAGCAGCAAACAGATATTTGAAGCTGCTGGTTCCTCTGGAGTCCCACGGACATCAAGGTGTAGAGTCCTCCAGAGTCTTGCAACTGTGCATAAACCTTCTATTCGGCCACCAATGCTCACAAGCAGAAAAATACATGAAGACTAATTTTCAAACAGTCCTGTTCACTGATGAGTGCCGTGCAACCCTGGATGGTCCAGATGGATGGAGTAGTGGATGGTTGGTGGACGGCCACCCTGTTCCAACAAGGCTGCGACGTCAGCAACGTAGTGGTGGAGTCATGTGTTGGGCTAGAATCATGGGAAGAGAGCTGGTCAGCCCCTTTAGGGTCCCAGAAGGTGTAAAGATGACCTCTGCAAAGTATGTGGAGTTTCTGACTGACCACTTTCTTCCCAGGTATGCTTTCCGTAATAAAATCATCTTCATGCATGACAATGCACCATCTCATGCTGCAAAGAATACCTCTGCATCAATGGCTGCTATGGGGATAAAAGGAGAGAAAGTAATGGTGTGGCCTCCATACTCCCTTAACGTCAATCCTATTGAGAACCTTTGGAGCATCCTCAAGCAAAAAATCTATGAGTGTGGGAGGCAGTTTAAATCCAAACAGCAGCTCTGGGAGGCTATTCTGACATCTTGCAAACAAATTCAGACAGAAACTGTCCAAAAACTCACAAGTTCAATGGATGCAAGACTTGTGAAGCTGCTATCAAATAAGGGGTCCTATGTTAAAATGTAACGTGACCTGTTAAAATGTTTAAAAAGTTAAAATGTTGTTACACGTTTGATTGAAATAGCTTTTGATTTCAGTAAATATGCTGCAAACACAACAAATTACAATTTTCAGTTCTTTACAACCTATAAAGTGTTTTGAAACTTACTGTGCGTAATAATTTGGAACTGTCAGGAATAAGGGGGATCCTAACTACAGAGAGTAAGCAAAGTAGTAACGTACCGTACTTTAGAATGGCCGGACTAGAGTTACTAAAGAATAAAGAATAGACAGGACGAGCCGAGGTCAGGGAGCCAGATGTAGGGAGAACGAGAATACATAAGCTGGGTCAAATGGATACCAGAGGGAAGAATAGTCAAGACAAGCCAAAGTTCAATACCAGAAAATATCAAGAGTACAACCCTCTATTGGGATCAAAGAACCACAACAGGGCAAGGAACCTAACTCATGGGAGCCTTTTTATATTGTGACTGGATCTGTCTTGGATGATAACAACACCCCCAAAACATAAATTTTCGGACGTTTGGGTGAGTAATGACGTCACTATGGCTCTGCCCCTTTTTCGCGTCATAAAAGGGGACGGGGCTATAGCGGCCGGCGCGAAAATGACTATCAATGCTGGAAGGCCGCCAGACCTTGTCCCAAGAACCCTGCAGCTGAACCAAAGGACCCCTGACAAAAGGTCAGGGGTCCTTTGTACCCCCCCCTCGAGGACCGCCCTCAGGGCAGAAAGAACCCGAACGTGAGGGAAATTTCAAATGAAAAGCACGAATCAAGCGGGGAGCATGAACGTCAGAAGCAGTGACCCATGACCTGTCCTCAGGACCATAACCTTTCCAGTCCACGAGATATTGAAGCTTACCCCTAATAAACCTAGAGTCAAGTATAGACTGTACAATGAACTCTTCCTGGCCCTCCACCTGGACCGGTGAAGGTGGAACTATATGGTTAGAAAATGTATTGCAAGTCAAAGGTTTTAATAAGGACACATGGAAAACGTCAGGTATGCGTAGTGCAGATGGCAGTGCCAGGCGATATGCCACCGGATTGATGCACCTGAGTATGGGGTAAGGACCAATGAATCGGGGCACAAACTTCAAGAACGGGACCTTGAGATGAATATGTTTAGTACTGAGCCAGACCTTTTCACCTGGATGATACACTGGAGCAGATACCCTATGAGCATCAGCAGATCTTTTATCAAGGGATGCTTTGCGTGTCAGGAGATATAAGTCGCCTCCCAAATCTTCTTCAGGTTTACAGTGTGTTCGTCAACCATCAAAAGTCCTTGTGATGGAGCTTCAGATGGGAGAACAACCGGATGGAAACCATAGTTCATGAAGAATGGACTTTGCTGCATGGCATCAGAAACCACATTGTTTAATGCAAATCCAGCCCACGGGAGTAGACCAACCCAATCATCCTGATGCCTAGAAATAAAACATCTCAAATATTGTTCAGTTCTTTGATTGATTATTTCTGCTGCCCCATTAGATTGTGGATGATAAGCCGAGAAGAAATGAAGGGTAATGCCCATTTAAAAACAAAAGGCCCTCCAGAATTCAGGAGAGGAGGGTAATTTCGATAAAGAAATAAAATGTGCCATTTTGGAGAACCGATCCACTACCGTCAATATAACTGTTTTATTTTCAGACAAAGGCAAATCAACAACAAAACCTATGCTAATACTGATCCAGGGTTTGTCAGGAATATTCAGGGTTCAGGGGTTGCAGTAAACCACACGGAAGGGTATGGGGAAGTTTGGAAGTTTGGTAGTAGCACATACACAACATGCTAATACATAATCTTTTGCATCTTGCCTTATAGAAGGCCACCAAAATTCCTTAGTAATCAACCTATATGTTTTGCATATGCCCGGATGTCCTGCCACCTTGCAGTCATGATGGAATTGAAGTATGTCCTTTTGGTGTTCGGGAGGAACATACAATTTTCCACCAGGAACAAGACTAGGAGCAAGAGTTTGCTTGGCCCTGATCTGAGATATAAGTGGAGAATGAATGGTGGTTCTTGTATAGGCCAAAATGCGCTGTGGAGGAATAACCGAGGAAATTTCAGAAATTTGGCCAATCAGAGGTTCGTACTGGCGGGATAGTGCATCGGTCTTGGTGTTCTTGGAACCAGGTCTGTATGTAAGAACGAAATTAAATCTTGTCAGGAATAAAGACCAATGAGCCTGTCTAGCTGATAAACGTTTAGCTTCTCCCAAATATGACAGATTTTTGTGGTCAGTTTAGACTGTTATGGGATGTAAAGTACCCTCTAGGAGGTGACGCCACTCCTTGAAGGCTAAAATAATGGCAACAAGTTCTTTATCACCAATGTCATATCTCTTTTCCGTCTCGGATAATTTTTTCAAATAGAACCCACAGGGGTGAAGAGGGCTATCAGGATCCAGCCTCTGAGACAAAACTGCTCCTACTCCAGCTTTTGATGCATCAACCTCCAATAGGAAATGTAAGTTGGTATCAGGATGGACCAATATGGGAGCAGAATTAAAGGCTGTTTTTAATGTATTGAAGGCTTTTATAGCTTCTTCTGGTCATTTCTTGGGATTAATACCCTTCTTAGTCAAATTCGTGATGGGAGAGATGATAGACGAAAATATTTTTATGAAGCGCCTGTAGTAATTTGAGAACCCTACGAATCACTGAATAGCTTTTAACCCATTAGGAATGGGCCATTTGAGGTTCGAGTCTACTTTTTTGGGATCCATCTCAAAACCTTCTCCAGAAATTACATAACCCAGAAAGGAAATCTTAGACTGATCAAACAGACATTTTTCTAATTTATAATATAAGTTATTTTGCAACAGTTTAGTCAAGACTTTCAAAACGTGTGTTACCAGATCCCTAAAATAAATCAAAATATCATCAAGATAGACAATCACGGATTCTTGTTGGAATTCCCTCGAAACATCATTGATAAGATTCTGGAAGACAGCTGGGGCGTTACATAGCTGGGGCGTTACATAGCCCAAAAGGCATCGTAATGCCCGTATCTGGTGTTAAAGGCTGCCTTCCACTTGTTTCCTTTGCGAATTCTAACCAGATTATATGCACTCCTCAAATCAAGCTTAGTAAAGGTACCCAGTCGGGGTGCCAGGCGATCCGTTACACCCTGCTGTTCCCAGGAAAGCTAGGACCTTAGTCTTAGTGCGTGGGGTTGGGCACTTTGCTACAGCCACTATCTTGGCTGGTTCTGGCTTTTGATGGCCACTCCCTACTCGGTGTCCCAGGTACTGTACCGCAGCCATTCCTATATGACATTTACTGGGTTTAAGGGTTAGCCCTGCTTCCCTGATACGGTCTAAGACTGCTCCTATGGGGGTCAAATGTACTGGCAGCTTGCCATTTTATCTAAGAGTTCATCTATCTTTGGCATAGGGTAGGTATCAGACACTGTTTTGTCATTAAGTCTCCGGTAGTCTACGCAGAAACGGGTTGTTCCATCCCGCTTCGGTACTAACACTACCAGAGAGGCCCAGAGACTGTCTGAATGTTCAGTAACCCCTAACTGTAGCATCTCTTCAATTTCTTTGCGCATATTCTCTTTCACAGATTCTGGTATGCGGTAGGGGTGTTGACATAGTGGGGACTGCCCTGGGGTTCTACTTGGTGAGTAGCTAGAGGGGTGTACATGGGTAAATTGGAAAAAGTGGACCTCTTGGCCCTAATCAGTCATTCCCCTAACTGTACCTCTCCCAGGCCCTCAGTCTGGTCTCCCTTCTCTAGGAGGTCTGGTAGAGGTAGCTTGTCCAAGTCTTCCGATGCCGGGGCGCAAATTGCTGTCACATTCTCTATGCGCTCATAGTAGGTTTAACCCCTTAAGGACACATGACATGTGTGACATGTCATGATTCCCTTTTATTCCAGAAGTTTGGTCCTTAAGGGGTTAAGCATATTCACGTGGAGCATGCATCTACCTCCTGCCCCGGTGCACGGGCCGATCACATAGGTGGTATCACATATTTGTTCTACCACCTTGTAGGGGCCCTGCCAGGATGACTGCAGCTTATCATTGTGGACCGGTTTTAGGAATAACACCTTTTGTCCTATCTGAAAGCTGCGGTCCCTGGCTCCACTATCGTACCAGCTGCGCTGTCGTTGCTGGGCCGTCTGGAGGTTGGTGCGTGCCGTCTGAGTCAATTCCTCCAGGCGATCCCTAAACTCTAACACAAATGGGACAATAGGGGTACCGTTGGTATTAACTTCGCCCTCCCAATGCTCTCTTATTAGGTCCAAGGGACCTCTCACCCTTCTCCTGAACAGTAGTTCAAATGGGGAGAACCCGGTGGACTCTTGGGGAACCTCTCTATATGCAAAGAGCAGGTGGGGTAGGAATCAATCCCAGTCTTTCTTGGTGTCGATGAACGTATGGATCATTTTCTTTATTGTTCCGTTAAATCGTTCGCAGAGACCGTTGGACTGGGGGGGGGGATACTGAGTTTAATATGGGTTTAATCCCACATACCTTGTCATAGCTTAATCCCAGAGTTGGTGGGTGACCTCTGCGGTAAATTGGGTGCCTGGATCCAAAATAATCTCTCGGGGAAATCCCATGTGGGAGAAAATTTGCATCAAGGCATCCGTTATCGTCTCCGCGTGAACGTTGTCCTCTGGATATCTAGTGGCATAATCTGTACACCCTCTGGCAGGTGTCGCACGTTTGGCAGTATTGCCTAATGTCATTTGAAATACCTGGCCAGAAGAAATTCTGGGTAAACCTATATTTAGTCCTACTGACTCCTAAATGACCTGACAACGATATATATCATGGGCTATGCAGAGTGTTAAGACACCTCCAGTGTCTTTAGGCAAAACCGCCGTTTAGTAGACCTTCCCCGGCTGCAGTAACAGTAACTCCGTTCGCTTAATCTGTAGTATACGAACCAAATGCAGGGGACGCGGCTTCCGTTCCATCCAGCAGTCTCTAAACGTGAAGAAGAAATCCCCCAATAATGAGACAGAAGCTCCGCATTGAGGGTCAAACAGGATCTGGCTTTACTGTGGGCTACCTGCCCGTATTTATGCAGGTCTCCCACTTGGTGGACACTCCCCTAGGGGACCAAATGGGAGACTTAAATGACAGACACATATGGGGACATTCCAGACACACAGTCACAGATTTTACCCACAGTGCATTATGATTCCCTCCCCTCTGCCCTGGAGTTAATTACCAAGTAACTCAATTAACTCCAGGACAAAGCCAGTCGCCATCTTAAATATAAAATCATAAAAGACATAAAAATGCATAACTTCAAAATAACCGAACATTTCCCATTCGTATCACATATCCCCAGATAGCCTGGATCTGAGTGCATATTATTAGCGAATAGCGCTCAGATCCCACACACATAGTTCAATCGCCATGGAGTCAAAGTTCTTACAGTCTTTCGGTATACGAATGACTCCATGGGAAGGCTATCTGGGTTAAGTCTTTTCGTATGCTCCAAATCTCCCAAACGGCCGGTATTCGTATGCTTTCGTGGAGGCAGTCAGGCGTTCCGTTGTTTCAGCGGTGTTCGGCAGAAAAAGTGTCCATTTTTAGTTCCATAGAAATAGAGCCAAACACCGCTGGGCTTTCGCGTGGTTTAAAATGGCCGCTGCCTCGTGGCCGACATACGAACGACGACTACCCTGAATTCGGTTTAATTGAGAAGTGTCTGCGGTTAACCACAACGTTCTAATTGGGATCAATAGGTTAACCAGCAGCACACTTCTCTCCTTGGTGGCCGTCCGTTTGGAAGGTTTGTTTGGGAAAAAGAGTCATTCGAATGGCTGGGCTATAGAAACCAGCCATTCATACGAACGGGAGACAAACAGACGAATGCAATTAAAATACAAGCAGACAGATGGTTCTGTCACACGGAGTAATTCTTGTCTATATTTTTGGGAATCGGTACAGATCCAGCAGAGGCGGCTCTCTAATTAGGCGGTTTAGGCGGCAGAGCAGACTGTGTCGGGTCCTCGGTCCCTTTAAGACGGTGTCCCCAGACTTGTTGGGGACACTGCCCCTTTAAGACGGTGTCCCCTGTGTCCCCAGACCTGGTTTAAACCCTTTGTTTATGGCTATTTCCCACTTGGTTCAGTAAATGGGGCTTACTGAACCAAGTACCACACAGGCGGACCACCCAGAAGTGGAAGTGTGCAGGCAATTTACCTCCCAGAAGCTACGGTTAACCGCAGCTTAATTGACAATGCTGGGTGGCCTTTGTTCGTTTGCCGAACACGTGGCGGCGGCCATCTTTGTTAATGCGAACGAGGTCAGCGGTATGTGTAGCCAAATTCATGGAACTAAAATCGGCTACACATTTCCGCGAACACCGCTGAGCTCTACCTTCTCCCCTACTGGTTTTACAGCTGCAGAGACTAAGTCCCATTCGGCATGGGACTTAGTCGTTTTTTCAGCCTGAAATAGACCGACCGCACAGCCCAAATCTATGGAACTGTTTTGGGCAGGAAAATGTGCTTGTGGTCGGTCATAAAGGGACCTCCAGCTAACTTTTTAACCCCTGGATGGATTTGGCTGATTTTTGGTTATGTTTATGTGTTAAGTGTGCTGATTCCAAATATGTAATTGTTATGACGATTGGATGTGTAGTTTTAAAGTTACAGTGTATGGATAAAAACTGTATTCTTACTGCCTGTGTTTAATTATGTTAACCCATTGTGTACCATAATTAGATCACAGGCAGAGGGGAGGATTTTTGTGTGTAATTGCTGGGAGTGTTTCTGTAAGGTACTTTTATTATTGGTTGTTGTGTAAAACCCTGTGGGTGGTCCTATCTCAGGGAAACCTGCATAAAAGAAGGTTCTTTGTGTGCCAATAAACAGAATGACTTGACCCTCTAACTTGTAGCCTTGACTCATGATTGTAGGGGACAGCTATAATCACTACAGGGATTGCTATGCTCTTCATACTCCCTTAACTACTGAGCTTTTGTAAGAGCTCTTGTTCCTGTTCCTGCTTCGCTATACAGAAGGAAGAGGTTCACCTACTGGAACCTGGAGCCTGGTCGTAGGTCCAGGGTGGATAGCAGACGGCGAGATCCTAGCCCAGCAGCGGTGGTTCGTTGAGTCTGCAGTACTTATGGTGGTCTATGCAGTACTTATGGTGTCTACGGTGCTGATGGTCCTTTGGTGAGCGCTAGGAGCATCCTTTCTATGGTCCAACTTCCAGCCAGCCTGGAGGCAACCGTAACAGTGGGGCTTCATGTTTGAGTTTCACCTCATAAAGTCTAGAGCCGCCTCTGAGATCCAGCTACTATTTTCTCGGCATGTCAGTATAGTAATCCCTTGTCCCAGGCATATCATTCTCCCTCCAACCTGGCCTGACTGGCAACCACCCTATCTTTATACACTCATTCCCGAACTCTAGTGGGGCATCCCAGGGTATGGCAGCTACCGAAGGGGGTGATTTGCTTACCTGAGCCTCAGAGTGTGCTTGTGCTGCCATAGTGCGGGCCTGTTGTCAGGTGACTACCTGGATTGGCTTCCTGGATGGTCGGTTGTGGTATGAAGGCAGAAGTTAGCTTGCCCTGGTCATTGCCAAGTAACACATCAGCAGGCAAGTTTTGCATCAGCCCCACCTTAAAGTCCCCGGATCCCGCACCCCAATTCAAATGAACCCTGGCAGTGGGCACCCAGTATATGGCTCACCCTGCTACTTGTATTGTCACAGAATCTCCAGTGCAGGCCCCTTCTGGAATTAGGTGGTTTTTATCCAGGGTCATGGTGGCCCACGAATCGCGGAGCCCCTGCACATTCTTTCCTTTCATGTGGACAATTTGGCGATGATTCTGCCGGCTATCGGAGGTGGCTTGGCTTCGTGTAAGACCCCAAGTTGTTCTTCGGCAGTCTTAGCCAGAGCATCTCAAGTGTTGGTCTCGCTCAGATGGCAATGGACTGCTGCTCGGTTAGTAGGTGGTGGACTTTAGTTTGCCCAGGCCTGGCGGCTCCTGTTCCGTAGACAGTCTCTCTGCACATGGCCTGTGGCGAAAGTAACCTCGCCACTGGGTTTTGGAGAGCCGGCTTGCCAGCCTCTTGCCCTGTGACTATGGCCCCTGGGGTGTATTGCCTTTTAAAAACACTATTTGTGCATACTGGGATTTGGCACAATGCCCCTTGGACTTTTAACTGGAACAGATTCAAACATGTGGCGGCGGCCAAATTGTCCAGCAGTGTTTTGTCGTCGAGTGTATGGAACTGTTTTGGGCATGGGACCATGTGCACGGTGGGGCAAAAGTAAGACTTCAGGAACTTCCTGAACCCCTGGACCGATCTGGGTGATCTGGGTGATTTTTGGATATGTTGTTCACCCAGATCGGGGCTATCAGGAGATGTGACTGTGGGGATATGTTGTATTTTAGGGTATTTTGGGGGGTTTGTAAAAATTTATGTTTTTTCTACTTAAGAGTTAATTGAGTTAGTCCATTGTCTTTGTTAATTGTATCACAGGCAGAGGGGAGGGTTTGTGTACACTATCTGGGAGTGTCTAACTGTACAATACTGTTCTGATTGGCTATGTGACTTTGTGTCCTGTGCTCCACAAGGTCCACCTGGGTGGTCCCTTGTGGGGAAAACTGTTTAAAACACAATAAACATGTGTGGGGGGAAAGGCTGCATCTACCCTGGGGATTGCTATATCACTATACTTCCCAGGGATTATAATCTAATCACTAAGCTCTTTTAAGAGCTTGTTCCTGCTACTCTCTCTTGGAGGAGAGGTTCACCCACTGGAAGCTGGAGCCTTGTCGTAGGTCCAGGGTGGGTAGAGGACGGTGAGTTCCCAGCCAAGCTGCGGCAGTTCATTGGATCTGCAGTGCTTATGGTATCTGGTGCGGTGCTGATGGTCCTTGGTAAGCACTAGGAGCATCGATTGACGGAGGGTCCGTCACATGACCCAACTGGTTACACAAGTGATACCAGATTCAAGGCCGGGCCTGGTACCTGGGTGGGTAGTGGTTAGCCCCCCTCCTTGACGTTGGAGGGTTGGGGCAAGAGGAGCTGGAGCTGGTATGGCTGGTCTGGAGAACAAGTGTGGGGCTAGTCAGTGGTGTCGCCTGGCTTCGTGGTGTTCATCTGCCAGCCTGGCGGCATTGTTCAGGGGACGGGGTTTACGGTCCCTTAACCACTCTTGTACATCTGGAGCCAACCCACTGAAAAATTGTTCCTAAGAGGACCAATTGTAGGAAGTTCTCGAGGTTAGTGGCTTGGTTAGCCTGTACCAACCCCATGGCAGCCCGATGTAATCGGTGTGCCCACTCAGCATGTGAATCTTTATCCTGCTTTTTGAGCTCTCAGAATCGGCGTCGGTATGCCTCTGGGGTGATGGCATAACGTGCTAGGATGGCTTGTTTTACCCTGTGGTAGTCTCTGCTGTCTCTGTCGGGTACCACTCGGTACGCCTTTGCTGCAAGGCCAGATAGTTTGCCTGCGAGTAGGGGTACCCAATCTGCTGGACTGACGTCATGTAAATGGCACAGCCTCTCGAAATCTTGGAGGTATCCATCTGTGGCGAAAGTAACCTCACCACTTTTACTTGGAGGGGCCTGCTTGCCAGCCTCTTGCCCCAGTATTATGGGCCCTGCAAAAAGACATGTTAAAAAAGTGACTTCCATGGAAAAACCAAACCACTGAACCGATCTGGGTGATTTTTTGATATGTTGGTCACCCAGATCAGGGCTATCCGAGGACGTGGCTCTTGTGGGGTTTCCATGGAACTTGGGGGTACTTTTGGGGTGTTTGTAAATTGTGCATTTTTATGTACCTGGAGAAAATTAATCTCTGAGACACAGAGGAGGAGTATGTTGAATGTATTGCTTGTCTGTGCCTCTTCCCCTCCCCTTTTTTCCTGTCCTATTGTTTCCCCAGCAGGGCGTTGTCCAAGGGACACTGCCAGACCAGTTTAAACTGGCTGCTTTGTCCCCCCTCAATTTCTCATTAGCCCTTGCTATTGTCCTTGTACTATAGTGCTCTATGTAACCTGTTGTATGTAAATGAGGCTGTAGGGGGTTTAAATGTGTGTATAAATTGAATAAAGTGCTGGCTTGCATTAAACAGGCCTGCTTTACCTCTTCATGAAGTCTTGGCTCATGTTTGGGGGATTGGGGAACTACACTCTGGGGATTGCTATAATCACTATACTCCCCTGAGTATAATCACTAAGCTCTTGTAAGAGCTGGTTCCTTCTATGCTCTCTGGAGTAGGGGAGGTGTGCCAACTGGGAGCTGAATCCTGGTCTTGGAACCAGGGTGGGTGGAGGACTGCAAGATCTTGGCGCAGCTGCATAGCTGGAAATGGAGTCTGCAGTGCTTATGGTGTCTGGTGGAGTGCTTGGAGCCCTCGGAAAGCACTAGGAGCATTGATTGGAGGTATTCGATCGGGGTGCCAGGCAGTCCATCACACCATCAATATCCTCCTCTGCATCTGTGAAGGCTTTAAAGGCCTGGTAAGAAATTTAAATTTTTCCTTGTGTGGTGGTGGAGGCTGTTGGTGACCCCTCTCTGGATCACTGATCGGCTGCTGGTCATAGGGCCAGGATATAATCTTGCACATCAGCCATCAACCTGGTCACTATTTCATCTGATGATGGTTCCCGGTAGAACGCCATCCTTGTTCTGAATTATTTTTGAAACTCAGTTTCTTCCATATTTGGTGGAGGTATAGCTGTAACAGAACTCCCCGTACTCTGACCAAGTACCGAGGACTGCGCCGAGGACCACAAGCACCGCCCGGGCACCACAACCACCGCAGACTCCACAACCGCCGTAGCTTAACTGGAGTCTCGCCGTCTTCTGTCCACCCTGGAGTCTCGCCATCTTCTGTCCACCCTGGATCAGCTTCTGTCCTCCAGGACCGTGTGGGGAAGACCTCTCCTCCAGGAGAACGTATCAGGAACAAGCTCTTAAAAGAGCTAAGTGATTAAGACTCAGGGGAGTATGCAGAGCATAGCAATCCCCAGTGTGAGTATAGCTGTCCCCTCCAATCATGAGACAAGACTACGTGTTGAGGGTCAAGAAGAACTGTTTTAATTAGCACCAAATGGCTTTCTTTTATGAAGGTTTTCCCTATATAGGACAACCCACAGGGTTTTTCAGAACAACCAATAAAAACATTACAACACATACCATAAAGTAAACCACTCCCATTCATCCCAGTAGAAATCCTTCCCTGTGATACAATTATCTCAACACAATAGACTAACTTAATTATCACAGGCAGAAAATATACAGTTTTTACACATGCACTGTAACTTTAAAACCACACATCCAATCTTCATAAAGCACACATTATTAATCAGCATCCTTTAAATATAAACATACTCAAAAATCATAAAAATCCGTCCAATAGATAAAAAGTTAGACAGACTTCCATAGTGACCGACCGCAAGCATATTTTCATGCCCAAAACAGTTCCATGGATTTGGGCTGTGCGGTCGGTCTATTTTACACTGAAAAAATGAGTGAATCTTCGAACAAGACTTAGTCTCCAGCTGCAGTGTCGAAGTGGAGAAGAAGGTAGGGGTCAGCGGTGTTCGTCTAAATGTGTAGCCGATTTCAGTTCCATGGATTTGGCTACACATACCGCTGACCTCATTCGAATGAACAAAGATGGCTGCCGCCACTTGTTTGTTTGTACGAACTGCGGCCACCCAGCGGTCGGCAATTTACCTACAGCAGGCTCCCAGCCTAGGAGGTAAATTGCCTGCACACTTCCACTTCTGGGTGGTCTGCTTGTGTGGTACTTGGTTCAGTAAGCCCCATTTACTGAACCAAGTGTAAAGAAGCCATGAATAAAGTACTTTAACCCTGGGGACACAGGCTTAAAGGGGCAGTGTCCCAAACAAGTCTGGGGATACCGTCTTAAAGGAGCATTGTTCCAATTCTCCCCATGTCCCAAAAATGTGCTTAAAGGGCCAGCAACAGTCCAATGAAAGTCCATAAGCCCCAATAATGTTCTTAAAGGGCCATACACCCCCGGGCCATAGTTGCAGGGCAGGAGGCTCTACAGGACCAAGTGGCAAAGGGCACTTCATCACAATAGCGTTATTTGCTCGGTCATAGAAACATAGAATGTGACGGCAGATAAGAACCATTCGGCCCATCTAGTCTGCCCAATTTTCTAAATACTTTCATTAGTCCCTAGCCTTATCTTATAGTTAGGATAGCCTTATGCCTATCCCACGCATGCTTAAACTCCTTTACTGTGTTAACCTCTACCACTTCAACTGGAAGGCTATTCCATGCATCCACTACCCTCTCAGTAAAGTAATACTTCCTAATATTATTTTTAAACCTTTGCCCCTCTAATTTAAGACTATGTCCTCTTGTTGTGGTAGTTTTTCTTCTTTTAAATATGGTCTCTTCCTTTACTGTATTGATTCCCTTTATGTATTTAAATGTTTCTATCATATCCCCCTATCTCGTCTTTCCTCCAAGCTATATCGGTCTCCCTCCATCAGTTCGGCAATAAGGATAGATTTTGCCTTGTTGCTGGCTATCTTAGCCCTGGCCTCCAGTAGTTCCTTTAATGTGGTTCGTTTCAGTGTGGCATAATTTGTCTCCATTCAACTTTCTTTCGTATAGTCGAACATACACGAACCGCTGCTTGAACACGAATC